TATGGTAATAAATACAGGCAAAAAAAGAACAGGCACTAGTTCACTGCTCTTCCTTTAAGTGAAAGTACACCCCCAAAAAATTCTGTCATCATTTATTCACCCTCATGTCATTCCAAAACTTTCTTATGTGGGACACAAAAGATATATATATTAACATCTCAGTTTGTCTGTTTTTTTAAACAATGGAAGTCAATGGGGTCCAAATGTTGACTTGACTTTCATTGTGTAGACGGTAACACTTTAAGGTTCCATGTGTTAACATTAGTTAACTCCTAACAATGAAAAATACTTAAGCATATATTAATCTTAGTTAATGTTGATTCAAACATTTACTAATACATTATTAAAATCAAAAGCTGTACCTATTAATGTTAGTTAATGGATCTGAGCTAACATGAACTAACATTGAACAGTTGTATTTTTATTAATTAACGTGAATAAAGATGAATAAATGCTGTAACAAATCAATAGCTCATTGTTAATGCATTAAATATAGTAACAAATGGAACCTTATTATAAAGTGTTACCGTGGGATCAATAAAGGTGTTTCAAAATATTTTCTTTAATGTCCCAGAGATGAACCGAAGTCATACATTTCTTTGTTGGTTGAATTATCCCTTCAAGACAGTGGTTCACAATCAATTAACACTTAATTAAAATCCTAAACACACACACACACACACACAGAAATAAGATTCAAGAAAAAAATTATAAATCTTATAAAGACATGGTCATATAAAGACATGGTTATAATGATCCTAAATGTAAAAGTACAACCATTTCTGAAATGTTTCTACAACATTTTGTAAAACGTCAATACGCACTAAAGATTTCACACTTGCATCCCACTTTATAAATTGTAGTTCATCTTATATTGAAGTGCAATGTGAACAAGTGCATCAACAGAATGTCCACAGATATATATCCCTTTATGCATGTATGTACATGTATATATTTTTATTTTACTTTTTTTTCAGGAAGTCATATATTATTAATTACTTTATTTCAGCAAAGTAATTATCACAAAGCAGCTGCTCATTTGCACATATAACAATATTATTGCATATTGTGATTGTCTATTTATTTTTACATTTTAATAAACAATGTTGGATTATTTTAATTACTGTTATATGCACACAAAAACTTTGTACACGTGCTCTTCAGCTGGCGTATGCATAAAAACAATTTGTTCCTCTCTTTTAACACTGATATGAAATTTAGGAACAAATCTGATTGTACGCGCGCTTTGAGGCCCAGGTCCCCCCCCCCCAATAACTACTGTTTATATTATAAAACATGCAGAATCAGAATCTTGAATCTATTTAATGTTTTGCACTGCCAGTTTTTGGAGTTTCAAATAATGCTGTTATAATACAACAGAAATACCAGAGTAAATATGTGGGGCCTTCAAATATTGTGTGGACATTAGGGAGCCTTTAGAATTAAATATTACATAATGGAGAGACATGTACTGTCTCAGCTGTTTGAACGCTTCCACTTTCACCTCCAAACGGACACAAACATCAGCGTTATGACATCAACTCCCTGACAAAGTTGACAGAGCGGTGACGCACCCATATGATACATCAAAGGCAGCAAGATGCACAAGTAATCTCGACATAAGACTCTTGGCTCCTCTGATACAAAGACTCACCTCTCACACCTCCTCTGATACCTGGCAGCCCGTTAACATCTCCCAGCTCTGTGTTCATGATTTCACACAACATCAAACAGAGAGAATGTGCGACTGGAGCGAGGGAGGAGAGCAAAAGAGAAGCCGAAAAGCCTCTGAGGGGGATTTTTCTCTTCTGACTTCAATGCTGGTGCTTTTGTGTGTGAGGGGTGCAGTAGTACACTCATCTGTCAGAGAGACTGGCGCTGTGATAGGGTTGCACCCCGCGGGGGGCCTGAGGTCATCGTGAGCGGCTGATCTCTAAAATGTGTGATCCTCCACTGGCCTGAAGGAGGAACCAGGTAAACCTCTGGCCCACAAGACAGCATCTATGTCAGCGCTGTCAGGCAGCATATCTCATCATAAAAGCATGGAATACTGTCTTTGCACACTCTGAATTCACAGGTTTAAAAAAAATATATATATGGCAATGTAGAGATGCTTTTATTGAGAATTCCCTTTATAGAATTCATAGAAGTTCTTAAAGGGGTCATATGATGTTGCTAAAAAGAACATTATTTTGTGTATTTGGTGTAATGAAATGTGTTTATGCGTTTTAAGGTTAAAAAACACATTATTTTCCACATACTGTGCATTATTGTTTCTCCTCTATGCCCGCTTTTCTGAAACGTGTCGATTTTTACAAAGCTCAACGGTCTGAAAAGCGAGGTGTGCTCTGATTGGCCAGCTATCCAGTGCGTTGTGATTGGCCGAATACCTCAAGCGTGTGACGGAAATGTTACGCCCCTACCATACTGAGATGCCGTGTCCCGGAGCGAGTCGAGCGACGAGACAAAAACATTAAAACCCATTATAAATGAGGCATTTTTTGCATCCAGTGGGGACATAATTACTGATTATAATGACTTATACTGTCTTTTTACGCGTTGCGTTGCATCGGGCAGCGTAAACATAAAACCATGTCTGCATTTGTGATCAGAGAAATGACAAACAACAAGTGCTACTCTACACTGCCCAAAACTCGCGTTTGAATCATCAGTGGCAAATTCTTTAAATATGAAAACGTACTTACAGTCTGTGAGTCAGAACAGCCGGCATTGTAGTCTACAGGAAACAGTCCTCCAAAAAATGCCGTGGACGAGTCTTAACTTTTATAAAGAATATCTCTTTGGGTTTGAGACTTTAGTCTTTGCAACTTTAGGGATCTTATCTATTCACGAACAGCTTGTAACACTCCAAAGAGAAAGGAAAACTTGAAATCGCATCATATGACCCCTTTAAGAGATGCCTTGATCCCCCCTGAAGTCAGTATGAAATGAAAATTTACCATTTGTTTTCTAAATGCATTTTATTGATCTTATTGTCAGTAATTCTTCCATAAATGTGTTTCTTTTCTTTTTTTTACATTTATTCATTTTTATTTTTTATTTTTTTTACCTTGTAATTCTTACTCAAAATTTCATAACCCGATCTTCTGGTGAAACTTCTGAATTCTCCCAATAATTTAGTCTGCTAAATCCTTGTGCCGTGTTGAAATTCTTTACATAATTTAACATAGTTTGTAAATTTCTCATTATGTTGTATTATCACCAAATCAATGTTTTTGTCAACTTGCATGAAAAAAAAATATATATATATTTGTGAGTCATTTTAACAATGTTCACACAAAAAAACTGATACAAAACCTGTGCTAATTGAAAGAGCACAAGTTGCTAAAAAAAAACTGAATCCAATATGTGGTAATAAAATGGAACAGCAAAAAATTTATAAGCATATTTTTGTAGGCCGGTCATTTTGACTGGGAGCAAAACAAGTGTAACAAGGAGGGGGGGAAATGGTTGAAAAAGTTGTTCTACACTGTGTGAGCAAAGTCGGGACATTTTAGAACAATGTGATAACGTTAACAAGCACTTTCGGGAAACAGAAAATCCACTCTGTTTGGAAAATCCAAACAGAAATTCTGCCCATTTCTTACTATAGACAGCAAACCCACATTCAGATTTGCCTCCATCCAATCAACAACGGATGGACAGAATTAAGTGTTTCAGTGTAAACTGTTTCACTCTGATGTACTTCACAATATGGTAGAAAAGATCTGTCACTACTTCTCTTTCATTGTGACTTTAACCTGAAATGTATAGTTTAAAAAAAAAAGTCAGCTATGGCAATATGATAAAAGTTTGTTTGATTTACTCAGAATAAACAATTCTTCTGCAAAATAATATAGTTTATTATACAAACTGTTGGCTTTTTAGTGGTTGCCAGGCAATATAACAGCTTGCTGCATTAATATAGAATGTAGAATGTGTAGTCAGAAGTTTGCACTTACAGTACTTGCATTTTCCAATATATTTTTACATCGGCTCATATGATCACAATTTAGAGTCTGAACTTTTGTTTTATACATTTTTAAATGCTTTTTACAGACTGCGACATTTTACAGATTAGTTGTCACTGGGTTCAGAGGTTCATGCAGATATGTATTATAGCATCGTCTGTGAGAAAATGAGGACAGAACTGCTAATAGATTCCTCTGCTGTACAACTGAATCTTTTCCAAACGTCACAGGATTTATAACACTGAATATTTGACTTATTACAGCTCAAGACAGAGCGTGTGTGTTCTGCATATGTTATCAAAGAGACAATAACACACACACACATTCAAAAAAAAAAAGCAATAAACAGCAATGAGAGCTAAAGGAGGGTTACACCTACAGTATTAATAAAGTATGCATGTCAAAACAAGGACGACGTTAAAACTGTGTGATCTCCTTATTCTTATCTTGGACAGAGAAAGAAGCCAATAAGATTAATTACCAGTGTGAAAGTATCGTTTCTGGAATAACTAATAGATTGGGCCTGTTTCCATAAAGTGTTCATGAAACCGTTGAGCTACTCACTGTTTGGAAAAGAAGTAAATTTCTGAGGAATCTTCTGTCAGCTCATCTACTGCAAACAACCACACACATGCATCCACTTGCAAACAGCCAAATATCTAATGACACACACACACACACACACACACACACAGAGAGATTTGGGTTAAAAACCAGATCAGCAAAGATATAAATGTTCTAACACACACACACACACACAAAATCTTGCAGTGGATATAAGTGGTCATTTACGAGAAGTATATAATAACTATAATAACTGACTAGATCACAACTTTCAACACTAACATCCAATCAACATCTAATACTAAAGCGAACATGTAAACTATACAAACCATAATAATCGTGACAAAAATACACATCAAGTAAATGATTCGATTACATAATCACTATGAACAACTGTACTCCATCGGAAGACTTATATCTTAGGTGTGCCCAGAGTTGGCTTTAATCTTCACACTTGTGTTTCAGGTCCCTGGCCCTTGGGCAGCAGTACTCATCCCTAGGCTCCCAACCCATCCTGTGTGGCTCCATACCTGGTTTGGTGCCAAAACAACTGCGCTTTTGCCGCAATTACATTGAGATCATGCCCAGTGTAGCAGAGGGTGTCAAATTGGGAATCCAGGAGTGTCAGCACCAGTTCCGAGGCCGCAGGTGGAACTGCACCACTATCAAGGACAATCTAGCAATATTTGGACCTGTACTTGATAAAGGTATGGGTTAACAACACACACCAGTCTACAAAATGTATAGTATTTAAATTGCAATTACAGAAAATAATTCAATTCTATACATATCGAAACTGCTTTTAGTCTATGTCGGTGATCTTCAAATCTGGCTCGTGAGATCCACTTTCCTGCAGAGTTTAGCTCTACCCTAATCAACACACCTGAGTTCGCTAATCAATGTCTTAAGGATCATTAGAAAAACACAGGTAGGTTTGTTTGATTATAGGGTTGGAGCTAAACTCTACAGGAAAGTGGATCTCGCAAGCCAGATTTGAGGATCACTGGTCTATGTGCTATTATTACTAGTATTACTAGTATTAAAAATACTGTTGCGAAAAATATGATGAGAAAAGTAACACTGCAAGATATTAATGACTTTATAATGTTTTTAGAAAAATGTTTCAAATAATGTAATCATAGTATATTGGGGATTACTCCACTTTAGCTAAAATAGCTGCATGCTTTAAACTGAACCACTTCAGTGCGATAATTAATTACTCAAACAGATCCTACACATATGAGATGAATTAGTGATATCCGCAGCATAAATATAATAGTACAATTTACTGTATAACAGCACGGACAATCAAACAAAATCACAAGGAGCCACGCTAGTCAGAATGTGTAACATTCTGTTTTCAGAACAACAAGCTACATGTAAGTCAGCATCGTAAAATAGTCTCCAAAACACATACATTTAAATTAGAGTAGATTTATACATATTAAAACATATTAAAATAAATACATATTAAAATAAATTTAAATCCTGTAGTTTAGCTAATATTAATATTACCTAAAAGTCCTATTTTAGCTAATGTTTTCACAAGGACAGTTTTCACTGGTTTAATTTCTTTTTAATTAAATCTTATATATTTTGACATTAAATTAATACATGTTTATGCATTTTTTTTAATGTTTAGTATCAGATATAAAGTTTTTTGTTTTTTTATTATTAAATTAGTAAATTGATTTGCCACTTCAGTCAGTATAAAAATGAACAATTCCTTTGATATGTCCCACCCAAACTTCCTTTTTCAATTGAAAAAATTGAAAATCAAATGATTCATGGAAAACAGTCCATGTAGTAGTGTAACATTTTCAATTTCTATGCACATCTTGCTATATTTGATTGAAGTTACATTTGTTGGGTTGTCCATACATTTTCTGATACTCTAGATGTGAATGGTTGAGGTGAAGCGCACAAGGACAACTTTACTAAAATCACTTCTTAAATAAATTGATGTAACAGAACATTGGTTCTCAGTCATGACAGAAAGCACCCTAATAGGTCTCTCCCTCACAAAATTCACATAAGCTGTGTTTCAAATGCACTTTTTCTATGCACTATGTACTCTACCATCTAGTGTATGAGTTTTAGAAGGTTATTTTGTCATACAGCATCGGAGTCTGATAGCCCCTCGGCTACATAAGGAAAGCTATGAAAGTTGAGCACACTAAGTGCCCAACATTCCATGTTTCATTTTTTCAGTTAAATAAGTGCATCATCCGGGTATAAGCAGTACACGAACTGGGTACACAAACTAGGACATACCTATACATGCTGGACAGTTAAGATGCTAAAGCAATTAGCCGCAGTGCAGGACCTTGGCAGGAACAGGCAGTGAGTGAGGGAGAGACAGAGAGAGAAAAAGAGAAGGGAGGCCAAATGAGATTACAAGCAATAGAAAAGGGCTAGAGGGTTCACTTCGACCCCTACTGTGCATGAAGGCCAGTATGAGCCATCCCTGTGTTCCTCTTACCGCCCGGCTCCCACGGACGCCCCATTCACACGCCCTTTTGACTGTGTCATGAAAGCAGGCTGAAAGGGAATCTCCCATCCTTCCCCATCATGAAGGAAGAGAGGTGGAAGGCAGGGGGAACTCAAGAGGGGGATGAGGAGACGATGAAGGAGACGGACAGTACGAGGTGAAGATAAGGAAGAAGGTTCTCTGCATGCGTTCGGATTGGGTTGATTGGTCCTCACTGGATTATTTTTTTTTTAACGCTTAGGAATATTTTGGCATAGTGGCTGGGATGAGATGTATGTGTGTTTTGTGTATGTGTGTCCCAGGAGGTGGGGGGGTGCTCCTTTTGGGAATGCCAGCCCCTGCTCTGGGCAGCGCTGAACTGGGCTATGGGGTGCGGGGTGCTGGGCCCTTTTGTGTGGGTAATACGGTGTGACAACACAGAGACAAAGGCGGATTCATGGACCCAGCAGGTAGCGGGAGCTGCGCTCTTCTTGGCCCTTGGCCAGGGCTCCTGGGGCCCAGAGCTCACAGTTCTCTGTTGTGGTGAACCCAGCTGGGCCTGCCAGAACCAACTGGGCCTCCTTCTGGCCGCAAACCCAGAGAGGTGCGCGCCCAAACACAACCTTTATTAAAAAGGACTGCTTGTCTATGTGTGCGGACATGAACTTCCTGCAAGAATAAAACAAGAATACGAGGGGTGAGATGAGTCTGCAAATTCATAAGAAACAGCTAGACGGCATCAAAAGTCCATAATGACTTAAAGACCCTGTGAAACGCTTGTCAAACACAGTTTTTGCTCCAGTGTTTATGCATTTCCTGTCGAAACAGGAAGTTTGAGAGGGACATATTCAAAAGGATTAGCCTCAATAGCATACGGCTTTAGTTACGTCACACTCATGAACCATAATTTGCTACTTGCTAATCAGTTGTAGATATAGGAGTGACATTCTCATTCTAAAGAGCATCTGACTGGACAAAAATCTGTGTAGTGCAGAATGAGTCATCACTATTTTCCTGGAAGAGGAAGACTGAAAGTTTTAAATGTGGATATCTGCTAAATGCTAATTTTGTTCGTTTTTCAGGACTACACTAACACATACAGTAGTTGAGTTTGAAAACTCATACTGAGGATAAGGAATGAGCTCTGCGAGTGTTAAAAAATCTATGTATAGTATGAACGTGTAGTATGAATGAAATCCAGGCACACTACATATGCCATGTTGGCTTTGTATTGTGACTTGTGACATTGGATGTGCACTTCAGAATCTGTCAAAGTAGTAAGTCATCCAGATACTTTACTCATAAATTGTTTAATGAATTCACATACTGTTTAATGCCTACTATAGTAGGTAAGTAGGCATATTCAGACACAGGGTAGATGACTTCAAAACTAGTAAACATTTACTAAAAAATCACAATTTTGATTGTTGCTTTGACAGTTGTGGTTAGCAGGTCAGAATTCCAAAGCCTAGTAAGCTACCTTACTACTGTCTACATAGGCAACTCCCTTCTAAGAAAGCATCCTAACTGTCATGGAATGTAATAATCGACTGAAAAGGAAATTTCTACTACTATAATTAAGTGCACTACAGCTTGACTCACATTTCAATAGTTTGCCATTAGCATGTTGCTAACCTAAGGGCAAAATACACCACAACCAAGTATTAAAATATACAGCACACACAAAAAATTGTAAATTAAACAATTTGTATTGAATGACATTCATTATAAATATTTTTTTCTTGCCTCATCCACCATTATGGATTTCTTTTTCACTGAGCTTGTTTCAGTGTATTATGGGATTTAAAGGGATAGTTCACCTCCCACAATTAGTCAGTGGTGTCCAATGATATTTTGAACCCCAATGACTTTTACTGCATGAGCAAAAACAGATGAAACATCAAAATACATCCAAGATTTTGCTCAGGAGGACAAAAAGGAAAAAAAGAATGCTGGAGAGTGCTGGACAGAATTACAAAATTGTTGTACTAGAATGATAACACGTTACCATGACATTCATCATCTAAACACAACATTGTGAAAAGGCGCTTTGTTTTGGTCACACATTACCCACAATACACCAGCATATTCCATGTGTGTGGGCACTCCTTTAGATAATCTTACACCATTATAGGCCTTACTGATCCCTGACAAACTCAGTCTGAGAACCACTGTCATTAGAGGCACTTAAATGTTTGGGGTGATGTTGTCATATGGGGTGGTTGGGTAGCAGTTTTTCCTGTAGGGACCAAGAGAACTGGTGAGCCACAGTAAGTGTGCTGCGATTGTGAAACGATGGTGTCTGGTTACATAATAAGCTGTTGCATTCAAAGGGGGCGTAACTCCATCTCTCAGAACATGCCTTCAGAAACCAAACACGCAGACTTATTGCTGGCTTTCACACACGTGGCCGCGGGGCTTGGACGGGTGGGAGAATGGGGACGGGAGGGGGGCTCCCGAAACATTATCCAGAGAGAAACCAGCACACCTTTGAGATGACACAGCGTCAGTGAAACCTCAGGCTGCATTAGCCACAAGTGACATGATCAACAATCGTCCCGGTGCTGTCAGAGACGTTTACAGCGCAGCACTCAAACACCTCGTCAGTATATTCCAGAGCTCATCACAGAAAATGATCCATGCCCTGAAGTCACAGCACAGATAGATGAGAGACTTTTGGGAGGGCCACAGTTAAAGAGGCAGGGATCTCCTTCAAACCTTTTACAAGAGCCACATGATAGACTCAGTTCCAAAACAGAGTGAGCTGTCTCGCTGTCTAAATACAGGGACTTCATAACTAGGCAGCATCCTAACTGTTATGGTACCAGAAATGACTGATTTGGAATTCTCTAGATATGCAGCAACACCATGTGCCATGAGTACAGCACTGGAGACTCTTGAAAAGTTTTAAAGAGTCAGCTGTATTGCAACAAGCATAAATATATAGTGCATTCAAAATCATTGGGTAAAATAATCTATTAATAATTAACTACTTTTATTGATACTTTTTGGTAGTAAAAGAAATATGACTTTATTTGCAATAAATATTTCTCACACCTTGTCCGAGGTCATTGCAGTGCATTCTGGGACTGCCTTCTCCGATAATAATACACACAATGCTGTTTTTCACCCACAAATTAAAATTCCATCATCATTTACTCACTCTCATGTTGTTCCAAACTTGTATGACTTACACTGTAAGAAATTTTTTTTTTTTTTTAAATTAGAATACGTACTGTTAAATCTCAGCCAGGACATTATCTGTTAAATTTACAGACATTTCTTTTAACTATAAAACACAACACAATTCAAGGTGTCACTTAAAATACAGGTAAAACACTTGTGAAAACTTTTTTCTCAAAATATCATCTCTATGTTCCACAGAATAAAAGTGAACTATCCCTTTAAAAGGCAACATAACTAAGCAACTCTCTAGGTTTTGGAGAAGGACATGTGTCTGTCAGAGCAAGGAAAACTTATAGCCATAACATGAAGAAATGTTTACTCAAATGTCATTTTTTTAAAATCTCTTTCTTCTCTTTAGCCACAAGAGAGTCTGCATTTGTTCATGCGATTGCGTCAGCTGGAGTGGCGTTTGCAGTGACCCGTTCATGTGCAGAGGGGACCTCCACAATGTGCGGCTGTGACTCCCATCATAAAGGTCCGCCGGGAGAAGGATGGAAGTGGGGTGGCTGCAGTGAAGATGCAGAGTTTGGGGTTTTGGTGTCCCGAGAGTTTGCAGACGCTCGTGAGAACCGACCAGATGCTCGGAGTGCCATGAACAGACACAACAATGAGGCAGGACGGATGGTAAGAGACTCATGATCTTTTTAACTGATTTCAAATATAATGTTGATGGAAAATATTCTATGCTATTTTTTATGAACAATTCTGTATGTACGCTACATTCAAAGGTTTGGGGTATTGGCGTATTAACTTCATCAAAAAAATACAGTAAAGAAATTTATAAAATTACAGAAGATTTCTATTTCAGATAAATTCTATTCTTTTTAATTAATAACAAAAATAAAAAAATCCTGAAAAAATTTGTCTTACTTCAAAAATTGTTTTCAACATTGATAATAATAAGAAACGTTTCTTGACTAGCAAATCAACATATTAGAATGATTTCTGAAAGATCATGTGACACTGGAGTAATGATGCTGAAAATTCAGCTTTGCAATCACGGGAATAAACTAATTAAATATATTAAAATTGAAAACCTATTTGAAAATATCATATTTCACAATATTACTGTTTTATTGTGTTTTTGAACAAATTCAATTGTGTTTTAGAAACAAAATACAGCCTGGGTGAACATAAGAGACTTCTTTCAAAATAATAATTTTAAAAAATCTTCTGACCCCAAATTTTTTGACTACCTTGTAGTGGACACGCTCTTAGATTTAACTTTTGACCCCAATCAATTCCAAGGTATGACATTTTGGTGTCTACATACTTAAAGCCTTATTGTGTATTTCTTTATTTAAGTATCCTTCTATATATATACTGTATATATAATATCCTTATACTTAGCACCAATGGATATGATCATCACAGTTTTTAAACTTAATACTGTGTCCACTTTTTACATGACGAAGGGAGACATATGTAACGTGAAAAGAGAAAAGCTGAGAAAACACACCATATCTGTGAAATCACTTTAGGTAAAGTGTGTAATTTGCACACCATACCAAACAGAAATGCAAAATAATTGCTGCTTTCACATACTCCATTTGTCATTGCTCGGACAAACAGTTAGTTCCGTCCCAAATTCACATGATTGGCTGAGCAAAATGTTGTTTTTGTCCCAGTCGGACCATTGAAACAGATTGTGATTCCAGTAGTACCACAGAAATTACACACTTCACCTTTAAGCCAGCAGGTTCATGATAACCAAACAAAGAACAAAGCTGTACTTGTGCCGCTCCTGGGTGGGTCCTACCCAACAGTTCACAAAGGTGTTAATGCACCGCAGATCTGTCAAATATCTCCTGATCCCTTTTCCGAGAGACTTTCAACTTTAAAACTGGTATTTTCATGAGAAATTACTGGGCAATTACCTCTCTTATCCTTTCATGCCTCTCATAAGTTGCATCTGTACTGAATCCGTGACACTCAGTTGGTGGTTTGCAGAAGGCAGGGAGGGAAGAATAACACTGGGGTTCAGGGTTTAGCCCGTCACTGCTGCTGTCATGACTTGGAGTCTTTGCGCTAAAGGTGCTTAAGGGGCAAAAGGCGAGACCACACTGCAACAGAACGCCGCTTTGATCAGCGAGGGACCACAGGAGCAGGCACTGAGACAGTCGGCCCTGGCAGGACCCTCGCGTACTCCATTGTTTCGACACAGCCTGAGGGACCCGCCCAGGGCCCAAAGAGTTCGGGACATGATGTCAGCGGCCCCAACTAGACCCCAAGGGACCTGCAAACACCTGCCTTCCGCCACAGCTGGGGAATTCTGAAGCTAAATATAGCAAGTGAATTAAGGCAAACAAACCAAAACAAAGACATATAGTGCCTGTGGCGAACTCCATTAAGCGGGACTTCAGAAGAGAATTAGCCGAGAAATGCAAGGGCCTGTCTGCACGCTCAGCACCTGAACAACACCTGTGGCCTGAGCCTGAGAGCATGCAGAAGAAGTTGCAGTCCAGGTTGTTGGAGTCTTATGTAGATCCTGATTTAAAAATCTGCTTTAGAAAGGACAGGGTGACAACACGGGCAATATTTAGGCAATAAAAGATAGCTGTCTGGACGTAAGCCAGAAGTTGAATATAGCAGGTAATTGGAGCGATGATATTTAGAATCATATGCAGCATGACTGCAATTGGGATACTGCTTTTATGCTATAGTTCTTCAAACAGAAAGCAACATTTCACGCAAAATTTGCTTACTGTTGGCTGTTGATAAATGGATAAAAGAAAAGCATCTGGCAGAGAAATAATAAGAAATGCAACTGGCCTTTTAAGTGGCTAAATCACAATCATTTTAAATGGTCCTTGATAGATAACAGCAAACTAATACCAATTTCCAATGTTTTCTCTTTTTCAGACCATCCTAGAAAACATGCACCTGCGCTGTAAGTGCCATGGACTGTCAGGCAGCTGCGAAGTCAAGACCTGTTGGTGGGCTCAGCCTGACTTCAGGCTGTTGGGGGACTACCTGAAAGACAAGTACGACAGTGCTTCCGAGATGATGGTGGAGAAACACCGGGAGTCAAGAGGCTGGGTGGAAACCCTACGGGCCAAATACGCCTTCTTCAAGCACCCCACAGAACGAGACCTGGTATACTACGAGGGATCGCCCAACTTCTGTGAGCCGAACCCAGAGACGGGCTCGTTTGGCACCCGTGACCGCATCTGCAACGTGTCGTCGCACGGCATCGAGGGCTGTGACTTGTTATGCTGTGGCCGTGGCCATAACACACGGACAGAAAAACGCAAGGAGAAATGCCACTGCATCTTCCACTGGTGTTGCTACGTCAGCTGCCAGGAGTGTGTGAGGGTCTACGATGTGCACACATGTAAATAAGTGCGGGAAGAAAAGGACTGGTGGATATTAAAGGATGGAAAGAGAGAGAAAGAGAGGGAGAGACTGAGAACACACACAAGATAGTGGCACTTCTGTGGTAGAACCCTTTACTAATGTGCCCTTTTTGATCTACACGTCCCAAAAGATGCCCATTGTGAGCATCATGGTTACTACTGCCATTCCTCTCACTCTTTTTTTGTGGCACGCATTATTTCTGCAAAAGAAAAAAATTCCTTGTTATCATTCAGTCTCCTTTATCTGTAACACCATCTCTCTGATCATCTCGCACTACTGCCCAGGGGCCGAAACAGGATATGTTCAAATACAACCAATGACACTAGGCACGCATTAAAGAACAAGAGGAGGGGGGAGAGGATGACGAGAAACTCTCGGTTAACTACTGAACGCTGGGTCTCGAAATATGCCCTGCTATACTACTGAATCCAATGCAATGCCCATGTTTTCCCTCATGATCTCCCGAGGTTTCCCAATCCAAGGACATATTGTTCACTCCTACCATATTCCCTATAATCATACATGTTCAAATCATGGGACATATTGCTGTTTTCTACGTAAAAACTCTGGTAATTTGCTTTATACAGCAGTTTGGAGGGATGCAATTGATATATTAGCGTAGAATGCTGTGGGCGGTACAAACAGGAAAAGGCATCATGGGTAGCCTACCTTCTGAATTTCAAAAGTTTTTTTTGTTTTTTTTTGCAGAACATGTACATGCAAAGCCATGGGTAACTCTCCTGGATGAGTGCAGGACAGCTGGTGAAATGCATGACAGCAGAATGCAACGACACACACTGGGCTCACGTGCACCCGACCAGTAAAATTTGCACTTACAAAACTACTAATGAGTATACTAATTCTAGAGATTACGATGATTATTTTTTAACATAATCTTTTTGATAAAGCTCCTCGTATATGACTGTGAAGGCTCCGTTTCAACACTTCCCTGATGAGAAGTTTGCGTAGAGGAAGGAGAACAAGTGAGCAGGAGGAGGATAGTTAAGGAAAGAAATAGGACGGTAATAAAGGAGGGAAGTGGCAACCCAATTTCATTTTTTTTTAAAACGCAACAATTTTGCGAGGTGGCGATTTTGTATTAATTCGTACGATTTGATGCGTAGGAAAACGTTCGATTTTTAGAAAAAAGAAAGAATGAGGGTCCATCCCTAAACCTAACCGTCATTGTGGCATAAGCAGATTGTATGAAATCGTACGAAGATCTTACAAATTTATACGAAGTTGCCACCAATTTGCGAATTGTCATGAGAGTGTGTTGCATGTGGAGGACTGCTGTGGGTTCGAGTGTGTGAAAGAAAGACCAGCTTCACAAAGCTGCAACAGACTAGCGGAGGTTTCCATAGGACATGTTCTGACAGTCCCATACGCTTCCCATTAATTAAGTTTAATTACGCAATGCTAGTTTCACACTCACATGATCCCCAAGGAGCCCTCTCACCAGTCACATCTACGCTCCCTTTTCCATTTCTCCTTCCGCTATATCCAAAGTTTTGTACAAAGCCTTTAAAAGTTCATAATTCCCTTTTTATTTTATAATCTGAAAATGTTATGTTTTTATAAATATTATTTATTACACAATGTATATATCTGTATGACTGAACTAAGATTATATATTTGAAGAACAAAACAGTCTCATGATTTTGCTTTTTAATATAAGATTGACTCTTTACTGATTGTTTTGCTGATATATTATGCTATGTGTAGCCTCATTTATATTAATATATAATGCAGATAACAACACTTTTGACAACAGATTATTAAAATAACGCATAGCATACAAATAAAAATACTGTGTGGCATTGGCACGCAGCTAAATAAAGGGTTCAATCTACCTGATCACAATCATCTGATCCTCATGTCTGCATCTACTCTGTTCATGCAGATATTACTCAATTGGTTCCTTGCTGTATGCAGAGGTCAATTTGAGAGTCACACCTGTTATTAAACACTGACAATGTGAAGGCAGCCAATGTGACAGACCCGATTACAGAATCAAATCACCGAGGGTGCTTCTAAAATTAGAGAGGGCGCTCTACCCTTAATGCACATCTATTTTGACTAGATATTTTTGTCCTGTCCATTGTTATGGCCATGTGTCAGTCATTGCAATTTCCTAAAACTTTGCGGCCTATACGTGGCTGTTGGTCCTCTTAGTAGCATGAAAAGCAAAATTTTATTCAAATTCTGAATAGTTTATATCCTGCTAGCCAAGAAAGCACGCGCGCTCCCTTATTTATAATCACTAAGACTCATTTCAGTTTCATTTCACAAAGTTATAAAAAAAAAAAAATCAATGAATCTATTACTTCTAACATCGTGTCTACACTTATGATGAGAGGATTCGCGCCCTGCACAACTCGGGCTCAGCGCTGAACAAAACACCATCGGGTGAGTGAATTCTGACTAACTTAAACACTTCTGATTGGCCATTGCGTTCAAGAAATCAACAGATATGTCTCTGATTGGTTACATTGCTCAACGCTGCAAAAACACGCTGACGCTCTCCTGAGCGCAAACACAAACGGTTTCGCCAATATCCTGTTTCTAACCGGGCATGCAACGTGACCCTTTTTATCCACAAAACCACAGTTTTAAGCGTGTGTTCTCTAATTTTCTAATAATAATAAAAGTTTGCATCAATATTTTGAGTTATGACAACTTGGAATTAAATTATTTTCCAGCCTACTCGAGTAGTAGCTCTGGAATCAATTAATCTTATCTATTTCTGTTAAAATTCACAGCTATCATAGCACATACTAAATGTAACTTATTTAGCGTGTATATTTAATGAACAAGTAAGATTACTTGTCACTGGCATTAGCACAATCATTGCTTAGCATCAGTGTAGTGTTTACCTTCATGTGGTCTACTCCAGCACAATGGTACATTACAGAAACATAAACATAACAGCATTAAACACTATAAGGGCTTTCCCTTTACTAAAAAACACAGAACATAATTTACTCTACTTATCCAGTCCTAACGCATGCAATTCCCAAATTTAACAATACAATTTCATTAATTTACTACAACATAATCATTAAAGAAACTCAATTAACACAGAACTTTGAGTTTAAATTACACACAATATCAAGTTAATGTAATGATCAACATTATGTAAACTGAACTCAACAAAATAATGTTTGCAAAGGTTTAATTAAATCAATAAATTACCATTTTTAACTTGCAACCATGCATTTATTTAAGTTGTGTTAAAGAGCATCATAGCTACCAGCAAGAACGCTTAAGCATTCGGTCTTTTTTAGGGGCGTACCTTGTGACATCATATCCTGTTTTTGCTTCATTTAGATGTCTTTGGTTCTTATTGGGTTCATATATCAGTCGAACCGTATGAGTTTTTTTATAAGCGGACCAAGACCCACTTTTCATGGGTTCTCGAGCCACTTTTGTGTGCACACCAAGATTCCAATGGCAACCTTCACACTTATTCAAATGAACCAATCAACAATAATGGAAGTAATGTATTGCAATCTTAAAACTGCATTTTTTTTGCAACTAGGGAATCATTGAAGACAATATAATTAACTTTAATAGGAAAAATGATTGCATTAATTAATTCCTTTACGGGTCATGACAAGCACTACAAGTACTAGTGTGTGACATGTAGTCCAAGATCCAAAATGTACACAAAACACAAATTCTATATTTAAATATGGTTCAATTACTATGACTTTCGCATTATGTTCTTCTTAAATGTTCTGAGAGAGAAAGTATGCATATGAAAGATATAAGAACGATAAAGAGGAGAATTCAAGGCCAATGTGAACTATCTCGGCACTGTTGGCAGACTGGCAGAGGGGAGGTAGTACACAATGATTAAGGCCACTATGTTACTCATTACTGAGGTGAGGGGCTGAGACTAAGAGCTTTTCTATATTCCTGACATGGAATGTCCCGAGCAACATAAGAAGGACGGATAGTTCCCATTTTTTTTTTTTTTTTTAAACATTTTTTTTTTGGTCAGAAAATAATAAAAGCAATTAACAAACTGCAACAATATACTGGCATGAGTGAGCATTTCAATATTTATGTCAGTTCAATATCAGTTATTAATTAATTTGTTAAGTCCATCCATGACAGAGAAAAGCGAGCAGAGGATTTGGTCAGAGAATTTTACCATTGTTAAATTTATATGGCCCAGTATGGACAATTTTAGGAGTAAGGCGTCGGTGACAGGAATGGTTCATGCCAGTAAATACATATAAATATGATACATTATATATATATAAACACCTTATAGGTCTTCATATACATGCATGTACTATTTCAAAATTCATGATGTCATAAGACACCTGAGGCACTGTACAAATATGAGACCCTGTGCACTTGTACTGAGGAATCAAGGAACTAGTGTTGAACAGCGGCCAGTGTCTGTAGTTGCCTTGGAAACATGCAGTACTCTATACTTAAGGAAAGTGGGGGATAGAGACATATTCTGTACAGTAGGTACGTCTGCTCTCTCTCAGTCCCTCAAGTGCACCCAGGGTTTTCCTGACTCCTTTAACTGCTTCTGAAAGATATGGTACAAAACACAAACAGGAAACCTTATAAAACAGTGCACATGTAATATGAATGGAAGAAAGCTAAAAAAAAAAAAAAGACAAATAACTGAAATCAAAAAATCTTATTTTCTTAATAAATATCCCTGGTGTCATTTTGGAAGATTTAACTATGTATATTATTTAAAGCAAAAAAAGCACTATTATTCAGAAGTTTGGGGTTGGTAAGCTTTTTAAATGTATTTAAAAGATGTCTCTTATGCTCATCAAGGTTGCATTTTTGTTGATCAAAAATACAGTAAAATATTTAAAAATGTGAATTTGAATATATTATTGAATATATATGTGGTGAAATATACATCCTACAGATGCGCTGATTCGCAACATCAGTGATGTTTCCTGGATTCATCCAGTGTTTCGGGTCTTTCAACATCATGCACCCTCACCCAGGTGACCCAGTTGGGGTTGATCAAGCCCCGACCTGCGTCCCAGCAGCGTTTAAGCCACAGATCACCCCTTTTTATCCACAGCCAACTTGAAGCTTTTTCTGCAGCCTCTGTTGCAAGTCTAATGGCTGCTCTCCTCTTGGGCCCACTCAACCCCAGCACAGTGAATGCTCTGAAGAAGGAGCGGCCAGCAAAGCCCCTGCATCCAACCTCCACAGGGTAACCACGAGCTCTCCAACCACTCTCTCAACACTGCAATGTGTGCTGGAAATTTCAGCTGCTTCTCCAGGTCAACTAAAAGCTGCCAGTCCCATGCTGAATGAAGAAGGCCTGCTGGAGCTTGTTGCTGCAGTGTTGGCTGCTCTCCTGCTTTCACAAACCGTATCTCCTTCCTAGCTCAGTGATGGTACTTGCTGTTTGCAATGGTCAAGGTGACACTCTCCGCTACTGCCGTTAGAACCTGGTCAAGGGCCTTTGGGCTGCAGCTCAGGATGTGTTCTAGTGACATTAGAGAGGGAGCAGGAAGGAGTATCAGCCTTGCCCCAGACCTGGAGGTTCGCTGGGATTGGTAAATCATCAAAGACAGCTTGGATTAAGAATTTCTTGCACTGCAGCTCTGCTTGCCAGATGTCAGACCATGTGAGCCTCCGTTCCATTGCATCTTCCCATCTCATCCATGCCCCTTTTTGCCTCATACCTGCCTCCCTGCTTATGCGAATTTCCTCCGCTGTCGCAATCATCTCCTCCTGCATGAGGTATCGCCTTACCTTGCCTCGTGTTTGGCTGTAGTACCAAGTCCTGCTCTTCCACAAGCCACTGCCCCCACCATGGCCTTGTGCCTTAGTCTGGACTCTGCTGCATCCAGCTCCCTTGAGGCTCTCCACTTTCTGCCAGTATGGACCTCAATGCCAGCTGCTGGGATCGCTGGAGTCTCCGTACTGCATTGCTTCTCTGGTGCAGGAGACCATGAACTCCATGAACCATGAACTGCTGGTAAAAGGGAGTTGCAGGGTGTTGTTCTTCCCATACAGAGCTGTTGTCAAGCTGCATGGAAGACCGAGACATCTGCGGAGATAGCTGCTAACTTTGCTCTCCATTAGCTCGACTGATGCAGTCGGCACTTCATATACCAGCAGAGGCCAGAGAACCCATGGCAGGATGCCATGCTGTTAAATCATTATACAATTTGGCAACCATGTTCATGGCAAATGCAAAAAGGATTACTGAAATTGTGCATCCAGTAATAATACCCTTCTGCAGGTGATGCCAACTTGATGTTACAGACCCAGACATGACTCTCAAACTGAAGTTGTTATAGTAGTCCAGGATGAGGTCCGCGATCTTACTGGGGACATGGTGCCGGTTTACTGCAGTCTCTACCAACTTTTGTGGTATGGACCCATATGCAGTGGCCAAGTCAAGTTAACTGAGTGATTACTCCAGTGTGCTCAAGACAGCCAGGCATCCCAGGAGTCCCTCCTTTCTGCACTAATGTATCAATGTAAAGCAGAAAGTTATTTTCTCATCTGCTTTTGCTGGGTTATTTCAACCCAACTTTGGGTCAAATATGGACTAACCCAACCGTTGGGTTAAAGTTTTACATAAAATTTTTAACCCAAAAGTTGGGTTAGTCCATATTTGACCCAAAGTTGGGTTGAAACAGCCCAGCATTTTTTAGAGTGTGGACAGAACACTGAAGAAGGTTTTGCCCTCAGCACTGAGCAGCGAGATGGATTTAAATTGCTCAATGTAATTTATTCATGTGATGGCAAAGCTGAATTTTCAGAAGCCGTTACTCCAGTCTTCAGTGTCACATGATCCTACAGAAATCATTTTAATATGCAGGTTTTGCAATGTTGAAAACAATTGCTTAAGGTTTTTTTTGTTGTTGTTGTGAAAATTGATATTTTTTCAGCACTCTTTGATTAATAGAAAGTTATAAAAAGAATAGCATTTATTTGAAATGTAAATATTTTGTTAACATTATAAATTGCACTGTCACTTCTGATCAATCTAATGCATCCTTGCTGAATAAAAGTATTAATTTTTTTTTTGAATCTTTCCCAAAATTTTGAAGGGTTGTTAAAAATAAAAATGCCCTCCACTTCTGAAATATTTTGTGCAAACAGGGAAAATTTAATTTCAACAATCATATTTTTTTTATAGTGTGAAAGAGTTTGTACGCTATGTACACTACTGTTTAAAAGTTTTGGGTCGGTAAGATTTCTTATGCTCACGAACGATATTTCTGGCAAAGCTGAATTTTCAGAAGCCGTTACTCCAGTCTTCAGTGTCACATGATCCTACAGAAATCATTTTAATATGCAGGTTTTGCAATGTTGAAAACAATTGCTTAAGGTTTTTTTTGTTGTTGTTGTGAAAATTTATATTTTTTCAGCACTCTTTGATTAATAGAAAGTTATAAAAAGAATAGCATTTATTTGAAATGTAAATATTTTGTTAACATTATAAATTGTACTGTCACTTCTGATCAATCTAATGCATCCTTGCTGAATAAAAGTATTAATTTTTTTTTTTAATCTTTCCAATACATTTTCAGATGAAAAATATTTGCTCCAAGTGGACGGTTCTGTGAAGACATAGGTTTTTTTTTTTTTTTTTTAAGGTATTAAGCAGCTAACATTATTGCAGGATTTCTGAGAACAGTCTGTTTTGGCAGGAAAGTGAAAGGCTTCAATCAACTCCAGAAGCAGTCCATATACACCAAATTGCATGCAGATGAGGAATATGGAGTTCTGTTTACTTGTGTGTGTGTTTGTGTGTCAAGAGAGAAGGCGCATCTGGAGGGGCTTGTTTTCATTATGATGCCATAAAGTAATTAAATTTGACATTGACTCAAACCGCAGATGATTTCGCAGGAAAAGCTGTGACTCAGGGAGTCGTCTAGACAACCCGCAGGGTGAAAAGGTCTTTCTGCGTCTCACCTGCAGTGACATCTCAATGAGCATCTGCAGCTTCTTAATGCCGAGCCACACGGCTTGTCCTTTCACCTTTTTTGCAATAATTGCTCGCTCTTCTTCCTGGAAGCCCCCGAGAAGCTGAACCACACAGAAGAATACAAAAAGTCAGTTGAGGCCTAACAATCAAAAACTATGGAAATTATGAAATGTACATCTAAAATTTAAAGGGACAGTTCACCCAAAAATGTAAATTCTATCATCATTTACTCACCTTCATGTCGTTCCAAACCCATATGACATACTTTCTTCTAAAAGATTCTTGAGAAATGTTTCAAATATTTTTAGCCATACAATAAAAGTCAATGGAGTCCAAAACAACACTGAACCCCCCACTGACTTTCACGTTATGGAAAGTGCAACATTTTTTCAAAATATCTTGTTTTCCACAGAAGAAACAAAGTCATACAGGTTTTGAACAACGAGGGGGAGTAAAGGATGACAGAACTGATATTTTTGGGTGAACTATCCCTTTAAGATTATTTGCTTAATGTTAATGAGTCCCCAGAAACATCTTCTACAAAGTAGATTGCACCATTCTTTCTTCAAGAACCTTGTTTTTCTGCCCCTCAAACCTATTATAGTGGCACCAAAACATATGTGGACACCTAGTTTCTTGGTTTCAAATGATAATACTAAAGATTTACTATTCGTTATCTGCAATGCAATTAAATTATTTTTTCATGGAAGTGATAGTGTGGTTTAACTCTGTAAAGCCTGACAACAGCCTGAAATAACAGTCAGAAAAATCTATTTTTAAATGAAAAAGAATTTTGAACCTTTATATGAAATATAACCTAGAAATGTTTATTTGATACAATAGGCTTTTATTGCCCATATATTGATATAGTGAGTATATGGTTCAATTCCAGAGAAATATGGGGATCTCAATGTGGCTTCATGTCCAAATTGCTGAAAATTACCCATTTTCAGTGGTCAAAAACCAAATGAGGGTAACTTGGTTTTCATTCACTGAAAATGGGTAAAATTCAACAAATCGGACATTGAGTCGCATTGGACTCCCCATATCTCTGGGATTGAACCATCCTGGACCTTAAAAATTAAGAAATTTAAGAACCAGAATTTAAAATGATATTGATATATCTTTAATATTTCTTGACTTACACAGCACGCAAACATTTGAAAAAGAATATTTATGGAACACAGACAGGTCTGTTCTATCCAATTGTTTTTTTTTAAAAGAGGGAAACAAGATACATTTCTAGTTTCAATATTATTTGTTCTTCAGACATTTCTATTTAAAAGAAAAATATTTATCAGCTGAATGCAAAGTGGCCCACATTTGGTTTTTGACCACTGAAAATGTGTACAATTGAACAATTGACTCCTGGAGCCATATTGAGATTCCAGTATCGTTGGAATAGGACCAGATGCAGCCTTAAAAATGAAGATACCAAAAGAAAAGTTTGTTAAAACCCAAAATCTAAAAGGGCATTAAGATATCTGTAATATTTTACAGGCGTGCAAACTTTGAATAATTTTTTTTTTTACTTTTTCCCATTTTTCAATGGTCACCATTGGCATATAATGCAACAAAGATGGCTAAAGTCAACAGATTTTACTAATAGATCTACCGATTAGTGTGTGAAAATAACATAATGATGCTGCCATCTTTCTGAAGTCATTTTTATGCCCCTGTAATTTGGCTCCAAATCTCAGGTGAAAGTTGTCATTTTGACCCCCCTCTACAAAATAGTGAATTACTCAGTATCCATTTTTATTTTACATGTTTATCTTTCTTCAGAAAAAATATTAACAAAATCAAACATTTGAGCCAGGGATCTTTGGTTGAGTTGACACGGAATGACCCAATATAAAAGTTATTCTTACATTTACTTTATAAAAATCAGTCAAGATTTCACAGCAAAAGACACATGTACCATGACCTAAAGGTGGACATTTTTACAATTATACTATAAGGCTTTTACTTGCTAAAATAGTATTAACTATCACTCAGATGACAGAAGTCATGTAGTAGATTATGTCCAACAGGTTTTTCAGAAAGTTTTGATTATGTTACGTAGAGGCTTAAAAAATTCATTTATCAAATATGATACACTAGGCTTTATAAGGTTAAGTGTTCAGAACCTTTTGGGGCCACTGTACATCTCTTTTATCTCTTAAACTCTTTGTGTTTCTGAGAGCCTCACCTCCAGGGCCTCTATGAGATGTTCCCCTCTACAGATGCTAGGGATGTGGATTGTAGTGCTGAAAGAGTCCAACATGCCCATCTCCTGCAGAACATCCTTCCTGCTAGTTGTGCCAAGAATCAGCAACTTACGACCCTGCGGAATAAATACAAGCAAACGTGTGTCAAATTATTTATGGTAATACTTTTTAAAACCCTAAAGGTCAAAATCTCTCATTGGAGAACTTTCAAGATGTGCTACTACAGCCGTGCTATGGTGCCTATCTACGTGAAGTAATGAGGTAGGCCATTCCCAGAGGCCCCAGCGAGCAGAGGGGATTATGGGTCGCCCCCTGTGGTGCCCAGTATATGCTAGTGCATGCAGATGAGGTGCCACACAGGCAGCGGGCCTGCCAGGTCCCGGCTCTCTCACAAACCCTTTCTATCAACTCACCCAAGACCCGACTCCCTGCTGAGTGCTGCTCTATACAGTCCTGATCTGGAGGAACAGACCCTCAGCTATTCAAAACACCTTACAAACACAGCACAACACCTATTCCTGCCCGATGTACACACTCAATGCCACCAGGCAGGCTGACACAACAGTAGCTTTTAAGGGGACCTGTACTTGAAAAACACGAATGCAGGAAAACAAAATTGTTTTCAAATTCAACCAAATTATAAATGTATATTCTTGGTTATTGGTTAAAGTCAAAAGAATGTTAAAATCATAAGTGTGACTGCTTAGAAAAGTGACAGGATAGTTCTTCGCAACAAAATTTGAGGTATCCTTTGTGTCCATAGAACAAGTGGTGTGGTACAAGTTACGCACCAAGGTTTAACCAGGGGTTCTTAAACATTTTCCGTAAAATAAAAATTGGGGTAACCACAGACTCAAAACTTGAAGAAAATGCTCACCAAGGCTGCATTTATTTAATCAAAAACACAGTAAAAACAGTAATGTTGTGAAGTATTATTACAACTGTTTTCTATTTGAATATATTTTAAAATGTAATTTATTCCTGTGAATAAATGTCAGCATCATTACTCCATTCTTCAGTGTCACATGATCCTTCAAAAATCATTCTAATATGCTGATTTGGTGCTCAGTGGATCATTTCTCATTATTATCACTATTAAAGGTTGTGATGTTTCATATTTTTGTGGAAACCATTATAAAATTTTTTCAGGATTATTTGATGAATCAAAAGCTCTATTTTGATATAGATTTTTTAACATTATAAATGTCTTCAGTGTCACTTGATCTTGCTGAATAAAAATATTACCTTTTTTTTTTTTTCAAAAAAATTAAATAAAATAAAAAATCTTACTAAACCCAAATGTTTGAACAGTAGATACATGAAACTGGACTATTTAATTTACACTATGATTTTTGACTGCTGTTTTGCTTTTATTATGTATTTATTATATATGAAATTAACTATCCTGCTGCTTTTAGCCAATATGTTTAAAAGAGTTCAATAGCTAAAAAACACGTAACTGTCATATAATATGCAATATTAGACAACAGAAACATTTTATCGCATATTAACTTTAGCCCAATGAGTTAATTCATTGTTATGAGTTGACTACCAAATCAACTAATTCAAACTTTTGTCAATAATTGTATTTATTTAGGACCACTAGGAATCCTTCATGGACAACAGTCTGAGAACCACTGGTTTAGGATTATACTTGGGGTTCGAGGTTTAAAAAAAAAAAAAAAAAAAACTTACATTAAGGGTAAAATAATGAACTATAAAAAAAATTATAATAGCAGACTAAAATAACTCTGATATGTCTATGAACAAAGAACAAATGTAGTGAGTTACTCCATTGCAGTTAGAGTGTCTCTCTTTTGATGGTGTTTACTGGTGAAAAGGAGGTGCTGCCCCCTGTCTGTGGATGGCAGTATTACAGGTCGGTGTGAATGTGCAACGTTCTCACCCGAGGAGGAGGTTTCTTCAATAACACCAGCAGAGCCTGCAGCACCAGGTTAGAGAACCGTGGCCCAATGGGAACAAAATCTGTGGAGTGGAGAAACATCAGAGATGAACTGACAGTATTGGGTAAGTTTGGTATGTAGACAAAGTCAACTAAAACAACAATAAAACCCAGACAAGAAAACATAAATTCCCTCCGAATCCCTATAAATACTAAATAAATGGGTGCACACAATGAACACGGAGATTCTTTTGAACGTATTATCAGGTTTGACAGGAAGTGCATCGTCCTCATTGTGACGGACTCACCCAGAAGTCTTTCTATATCGTCCACCACCACACAGCTCAGTTGGGACTTGTAGGCATCCTCAAAGATCTAGAGAGATGAAAACCATAAACCCACTATTAAAGGCCAGCAGCTGAAATATCACATCCATAACATTCCCCATGACAACTGCTTTCAGAACGCACAGATCTCTTATTGTCTTAACCTACAGCGACAAGGTTGCTACCTTTTTGATGGCCTGACATTTGGCGGTCTCTGAATAGCCAATCATTTTGTCTGGAGAACAGATCTTGATGAAGGGGAACTGGGAGTCCTCTGCGATCTTGGCCGCCAGTGCCGTCTTACCACTGTGAGGAGGCCCTGAGGGAGCGGAGAGCATTCACACTCTCAGTCATATCAGATTGCAGCATTATGGTGCATGTTTGCTTGTGTGAACCAGAGAACAAGAGCAGGGAGAAATGCTATTCTCTCAGTGTTTGTGTGTACATGTGTGCAACTGTAACTTGTCAAGCTATAAGTTACTCATACATTTACAGTCAGCTACCCTGCTGAACAGTTAGCTATTTGCTCATAATTATGAAGAATGAGCTTTATGGTTTCAATTCTGCCATCTTCATCCACACACCCTCTCTTAGGGCTAAATACTTCACCAAAAATTAAATCACAATATGTATTTGTGAAACCATCAAATCTCAAATGCTGTTATATAATTAAATAAACATGTGCAGTTCATTTCAGAGTGAAGTGTGGCACTGTGTTCATTTACATGTTAGCAGCTCATGATCCAGTGTTTTCAGTGTCTCAGAGCAGCTTGGTTCACAGTAAATACGGCATCTATTCTGAGTTAAGGTCTTTTAAAATGTGCATTTAGGAACAATAGGCAACACTCATTTACCAGATTTGTAACAAGAAGCGTTTAACGTATGAAAATGAAAAAATTAAGACAGAAATATTAACATTTTAATTTTACAGTTATACTGTAAAATAAAATCATTATTGTTATTTTTCTTAAAGGGATAATTCCCCCCAAAATTAAAACTACCCCATGATTTACTCGCCCTCAATCCATCCTAGGTGTATATGACTTTCTTCTTTCAGATGAATACAATTGGAGTTATATTAAAAAATGTCTGGGATCTTCCAAGCTTTATAACGGCAGTGAATTGTGGTCGAGATTTTGAAGCAAAATAAAGTGCATCCATCCATCATAAAAAAGGGCTCCACATGGCTCCGGGGGGTTAATAAAGGCCTTCTGAAGTGAATTGATGTTTGTGTAAGAAAAATATCCATATTTAAAACTTTAATCTTCCGCTGTCATACCAGAGCTTATGCTACGCTTGCATCCTACATCATCCGCTGAAACGTCACTCTCTCGTAAACACGGATATGACAGTTAGCTTCCGCTAGAGATGGCGGTTTATAAAGTTTTAAATATGGATGTTTTTCTTTCACATCAATTCACTTCAGAATGCCTTTATTAACCCCACGGAGCGGTCCATTATAAAGCTTGGAAGAGCCAGGACATTTTTTAATATAACTCCGATTGTATTTGTCTGAAAAAAGAAAGTCATGTATACCTAGCATGGAATGAGGGTGAGTAAATCATGGGGGAATTTTCATTTTGGGGTGAACTACCACTTTAAATATTCAATTTTTATTTTTATAGTGACATAGTATTATTACAATAGTAATGCTTGTTATATTGCAATAGTAATACTAGTTGCCCCTAACGCTGTATTAGTGTATGTCTATTTATATGTCCGCAAAGTTTGTGTAAGACTTGCCCTCTAAAAGCACAGTTACTAGCGGTGTGCGTTCACTGTTCTTGGTCTGTTGCACCAAAAGTTCTCCATCTCCCAGTATGTCAGACACAGCATTGCTCCATTTCACAATACCATTCATGATGTAACTAGAGTAATCCTCCTGATTAGTGCCAAAAGCCTTTACAGAAAAAAAAACAGAGAGAATTGCATTAAATATTAAAGCAATGCATTACTTTATTCAGTGCTAAAATTATCAATATTGATACTGCATAATAATTTGACATTTTTTCTGTAAATTCAAGTTCAGGAGGCCCATTCACACAGTGTAGAATGCACAAAATAATTCACCGAACATTACTTTACATGTTGGATGAAAATAATAACCTCCTCAAGTCTAAGTGGGCGGTTCTTTGCCAAAATGAACTGCAATGTGGGCCAGACTTAATGTTGATAGTGAAGTTTGGCTGCATGAGATCTAATCAGTGGATTTGGATTCAACATATTATGCAAACTGAATCCACAATAATGAAGAGTGGACTTACAGGCTTGATGTCATTATTCAGAGAGGCCAAGAAATCACTCCTGCTGACTTCTAGCATCTGAGCTTTCTCTGTGTCCACCTCCACCTTAGTACTGGCCTACAGGAGCAAAAACACACAGACTGATCCTCAAACTCATCCACTTCAATATGGGACAATATGGGAGCATTGTGTCAACACCATCAAATATGGGCATGTGTGAGCCACACACACACACACACCCATTTTGTCTGGCTATTCACAGATATCCATAGGCTTCTAAAAACTTATTTTCAAATAAAGCAAGATTTAATTGGTTAACAATTCACTACCTCAAGCATTGAAACAATCTTTTCTTGTATTCACATAAAAACCACACCATTTAGATGGTATTCAAATGTGTAACACAACATTGCTGTAATCTGAGGTAAACGGCATTTTATTTGTATAATAAACCAATTTTGTAACTTGAGATAAGTTCCAACCAGAGTTCAGAACTGATTTTGTTTAAATCAACCATAATTAGTTATGACTGTGGTGTTGCATTGTGGATGAGATGATGAGATCAGACCTTGATGTGACGGTTCATGGCAGTCGACTGGGCTGCTCGCACAAGCCCTTCCAGCTCTGCTCCGCTGTAGTTCTTGGTATCAACAGCCAGCTCCTTTATGTCAACATCTTTGGCCAGCATGTTTGACTGCTTCATTTTTGCCGTGTGGATATTCAGGATCTGAACACGGCCCGTCTCGTCAGGCAAGCCTGGAGAAGGATGATTAAACAGCTGTTCCTCGAATATGCGACCTATTGAAAAGGGCTATGATGGCTAATGTAGCTCTCACCAATCTCCATTTTGACCTCCAGTCTACCCGGCCTCAAGAGGGCTTCATCGATCAGGTCAGGCCTGTTGGTCATTCCTTAAATAAAGTATGATTTAATAAAGAAAGCAAAGCCAAATGAACAAAAGATGAAGCACGGTCATTCTTTATGCTGGCTGATCTCACAGGAAGTTCTCACCAATGACCAGGATGTTATTGAGCTGCTCTACACCATCGATCTTAGACAGTAGCTGGTTGACTACAGTGTCGTGGACCCCAGTGCTGCCCGCCATGCTGCCACGTTGTTTACAGATGGCATCGATTTCGTCAAATATGATGATGTGCAGTCCACTGTTGGCCCCCAACTTCAAACGCCAAAAATAGAGAAAAATAATTATAGCAGGGCAGCCATAATTTCAAAACTGTCATATAAAGGTTCACTTGTAATATTAATATATATTATTAAAGGTTTCTGTGACTTAAAAATGACAAATTAAAAGACAAGTAACCAATACTTTACAGGTGTAGTTATTAGCCAAGACCTTGTGAACATTTCTACATTTCATTTTCTTTTAACTGTTATGTTTTTCATAAAATATTTAATTTAATTTCAGCTTTATTTAAATGAATGAAAATATTTTTAGTTTGTTTTAGGTAACAGTAAAACCACAGAATATAATATAATATAATATAATATAATATAATATAATATATTATAATATAATATAATATAATATAATATAATATAATATAATATAATATAATAGGCCATTTAGTAGCAGACTAGATAGCCTCAAAGGAAAATAAAATGTCAGGTTAGATGACATGCCTCAAAACTCATTTTGTTTGAATGTGGTCTTAAAAACTTCTGCATATAGTTCTCTTGAGCTCCCTGCTTAAATGCCAGGTTGGTGAATGGACCGCGACTGTATAAACTCTGTGACAATGGCCCACAATTAAGAGTTATCTTCTTCATCTTGGAGGCTGTCAGAGGCTAGGTCGTAACATTTAGCACAGATGGGAGGCCAGTATGAGTGTGCATGGCCTCCCGTGAGTCAGGGTGAGGGGGTAGAGATAGCTGGACACTCTCATTAAGAGGTGAGGAGTGAGCTTTTCAATGTCATGTAGTCACACAGTCTACCAACACAACATCACACTCAAGCACGGCCAGAACCAGCAGTTCACTGCCAACACTTCATGATATATCACCTTCGGAAAAAAAACAAACTATGATAATGTTTCTAAGCAAACACTAGGCCATTTACAGTAATTCAGTAAGTATATTTCAGCAATTTGGAGTTATTTGTAGAGCTGCTGGAGGACCCAAAACTGGGAACAGCATCCTTCGTGCAAACCAAAGTTTGTCTGCCATGATTTTTTTTGACTGTTGACAGAGCAACCTTTCTTTAAAGTGTCAGATATCGGTGGGTTCCGTCACAGAGCCAGATGAATTTAAGGTTGTGCAAAACATCCATATGGCCTTTCTAAGATAACAGTGATTTGTGAAGTGCATGAAAGAATGGAGGTTTTTCCTAAGTGTGTAATGTTTAATCATTTGCATGAAACGCCATTTTTTCCTTCATCCTTTTTCCTGGTTTCTTACCCTCTTCTGTTCCTCCTCGGCATCAGCAAACAGCTTTCTGATGTTGGCCTCTGACTCGCCCACATATTTGTTCAGAATCTCTGGCCCGTTGACCACCTTCGGCTCTCTGGCATTCACGATCTTACCAATCTGACGCGCCATCAGGGTTTTACCACAGCCAGGTGGCCCAAACAACAAGATCCCCTTCACGTGTTTACAGCCTGTGGAAAGAGAAAGGGATTGTGGGGTGTAAAGTCAAAACCGGAGGATATGAAACATAAGACATCACAAAATGGTTTAAGCATCAATGACATACTGTAAAGGAGTGCCCACAATAAATAAAAGGAAAAATCTTTTAACAAACTAGTTTAAAACACGTGGCAAACTCTTAAAAATGTGTTCATGTTGGGTTTATATGGTTTAGAAACTACTTGAATAATATTTTTAACAAGAGTTTCAATCTAATGAAAAATGTCATGTGGTATAACCAAGTAAAAAAATCAACACACTTTTTACTTACACCTTGAATACATGTGAGTGTACACAAAAAATAAATATCAAAAAAATAAAAAGTATATATATTTGCATGCAAGTTGGTTAGATTACTGTTAATGTTTTTTTTAAAGAAGTCTCTTATGCTCACCAAATCTGCATTTATTTGATGAAAAACACAGTAAAACCAGTGATATTGTGAAATATTATTACAATTTAAAATAATTTATATTAAAATAAATTATTTTAAAATGAAATCTATTCCTGTGATGCAAAGCTGTATTTTCAGCATCACTACTCCAGTCTTCAGTGTCACATGATCTTTTAGAAATCATTCTAATATGCTGATGTGGTGCTCGAGAAACAATTGTCATTATTATCAGTGTTGACAGTACCGTTTAATATTTTTGTGGAAAACATTTTTTCCAGGATTCTATGGAAAAAATATGAAATATGAAGTTAAAAAAAACAGTATTTATTTGAAATAAAAATCTTATATAACATTAAAAATGCATTTACTGTCACTTTTTTATCAATTTAATACATCCTTGCTGGAAAAAAAATTATTATTCCATATATAATATAAACCCACACACAAAAAGTATGGGCAAGTGTCTAATACAACTGTTTTCAAAGAAGCACATGCAGGGGTCTTTTTGACCAGCAATGGCATTTCTCAGACAAGAGCCCTGTTTTTGGTTAACAACATCTGCTGGCTGCCATTTGGAAAGAGCGGGAAGACTGGAGATAACCAGCAGGCCTGAGATGAGAATCAGCATGGCCATTTACACCTGATGACAGACTCAGGTTGAGGGAGGGCAGGCGTCCAGACTTTTCACGGAGGAGAAGAACGAGGCCATGGCTGGGCAGACTAAAATGACCTTTAGTTGGTGGGAGTTTTGGGAGAAACTGGGTATATTGGTGTAAACTCCCACCCAAGCGCTATCAGACAATAACATACTCAGACACACACCCGCACCTTCCTTCAGCACCTGGGCTCCAAAACCAACCCCAATTAGGTGCTCACCTTTGCGCTATCAAGACCCGCCATCTCATTAGAGCAGCCAGCTGCCTGAGCCAGAGGCCGATTCCTGCAGCCATCACACCACAAAGGTCATCTCTCGCTCTCTCTCGCACACACACTGCACTCTGAAGGCTGTGTGTGTGTGTATACTTGATCAAGACATCTGGCAGCTTACAGGAATAATAAAAGCATTTTCCTCTACAGGGTTCATCAAAACCCTCTCTAAACTGTGAACTGATTTACATTGAAAATGAACAGTTCTGAAGGGCATACAAGAAAACCTCATTTGAAAGGTACCAAAAAAACATAAAAAGAGAATCAAATCTATACTAGGCTGTTGGTAGGTGGTTTCTAGACTGTTCATAGGTGCTTAATAGGGCGTTCGAGGTGGTTGCTAGGCAGCTCGTGGACATTTTTTATGGTGTTGCAGTAAGTGCTTGCTATGGTGTTGAGGGTGACTAACCCGTTCGTAGGTGCTTGGTACAATATTCAGGGTGGTTGCTACTTGCTAGGCTGTTGGTAGGTGCTTGATAAAGCCAATTCATACTGCACAAACAGATGCAATAGAAACATTCGTTGGGTTTTGTCGGATCAGTGTGTTACGCATGTCAGCGTCTGTCGCCATTGGTTGGCGCTTGTTTTCACTGACTGAACATGTTGAATCAGTGTTTGTAGGGTCTTGGAACATCTGAGAAGTGGCATACTTTAGTTGGTCAGCTGTTGCCGTTGGCCTACATCTGTTGGTGGAGAATGAATTGGCCTTTACGGTAGACTGTATGGTTGGTAGGCTGTTCATATGTGCTTTATTAGGGTGTTCTGAGTGGTTGATAGGCCTCTGGTAGTTGGTTGCTAGGGTGTTCTGGGTTGTTGCTAAGCATTTGGTAGGTGGCTGTTAGGGTGTACTGGGTGGTTTCTAGGTCTTTGGTAGGTGTTTAATACAGTGTTTGGGGTGGTTGCCAGGTTGCTGGTAGATGGTTGCTAGAGTATCCTGGGTTTGTTCAAATTCTTACATCTTAAAAATGAGCAACAGTAATAGTGACGCTTGATTTAGCATTCTTGTGCACAGTTTGGCAAGTGCAGAACATTATAACGTGATAATTAAACCACAAACTGAGTGTTAACAGTTACGATAAACCAACTGAAACCACATGTACACAAACACCACAGACTTTCTGTGGCCTTAGAAAAGATGGATTGTGTAAGCTGAAATATTCAGCAAAAGTTTTATTAGAAATTAAACAACTAAGCGACAAAAAAATAAGTCTAATTTCAGAGTAACAAAAAGTTAAAGCTCAACAGTACACACAACTGCTTTATGAGAAGTCCAAAACACAATCAAATATATTCTTAGTCAAAATAAAAGGTTTTATACAAAGTTCTTGGTGTATGTACACCACAACTGCATCAGTACTATGGTGTTATTTTACTGACAAATGTCGAGAGTGCATTGTTGTAGCACGAAAGTACATTAATATAATGTACATTAACATAACAGTGCTGTAAAGTTAGTTTTAGGTTTGATATTCGCTGCATATTCCCCTAGGCTGCTTTAGGGACAGTCTGCCAATTCCACTCACAGTGCAAAACGAAGTAAAACAATTCATTCAAATTAATGTTTAAAGAGTTATAGTACATGCCTAGTGAGCACACAGACTTATTTTGTGAATACCTCCTTCGCTGTACTTACACGAATAAGTTGATGAAAATAATTACAGTAATTCACAAAAAAGGGTTTTTCTCATATTCCAAACGTTGTAGTAGGTTCCTGGTGGCCAGATTGACTTACTACAGCTGAAATTTTGCCAATACCTCCCCTACTGTACATACAGTATACAAATATTTTCATGTAAATAATTACACTGATTCACCAAAAGGGTTTTCGTATTCCAAAGGCTGTATTAGTTCCTAGTGGCCAGCCAGACTGACTTACGTTTAGTCGAGGAGTGAAAAGAATACATTTCTAGCGCAAGTGCACGGAGAGAATTATGAGTGCACAGGACACAGTTTGAGCGCGGACACACGCACGCTTTCAGCGAGAAGAGAGACTCGTGATTGCAACGGACATGTTTTAAGTGTCTGGTTTTGTGCGAGAGCAAAGGAAATCGGCATGCTCATGTATTGTTTTAATGTACTTTCGCGCTCTCGACATTTGTCAGTAAAATAACGCCATACAGTACAGGTTATGTTGTGTGGAAAGCCAATATATGGAGATGGTTTGGCTATGCATTATGCTAATTTTTAACTGTGACATGCGCTTCCTCATTCAGGATTCATTAACATGAGCACCTGTTGAGCATCTGTATGAAACTCTGTGTGAGAACATTTTTTAGTCACAAGTAAGAACACTTGTTCGCAATTATTAGCCAAAGACACCCAGTGTCTAAAAGCTGAGAACAAATGATGAATACAAATGAGTATTCTAATCAATCTAAACAAATGATTAGAATACTTTCGCTGCAGGAGTCAATCTGATGGGAATTTGTCTGCTGGATAGCATCTTTAACAACTGTTTATCTGTTTAATGGGTGAATGTAAATCATACACACACAATCAGACTGCAGTCTGACAATACAATTCAAACTAGGCTTCTGACCGTGAGCCAGAGGCAAAGAAGAACACAACATAAGGATGTTTTTTCTAACTGAGCTATTCTCTCATTTATGGTTAAGATGAGGTGCTGGGAGGGTCTGAGAGCTGTCTGTCCAATATTTAGCTGCTCTTATTTATTTTGGCTTTGTCAAACAACATGCTGTGCCTCTGCCTCACTGGCCACCTGTATTGAGAGGGATGTAAAAAAAGAGGAGATATATGTCTTTCCAAGAGAGAGACAAGGGCGTCATGCCCTTTTTTTGTTTTTTGAGGCAGCACTAGTGGTTGTCCTGGCTTACTTGGTACCCAAAGTGAGCAATTGAGCTAACACAAGAAGTTAGTTGCTTAGAAAGTAAATACGATCTTTATCATAGCTGTACAGTTTTCGCTTCAAAGTGGCAGAAGGAGAGAAACGACTCACCCATCTGCTCCACTATGTCTGGAGGAAAGACTCGCGAGGCGAAGGCCCGACGGAAGATGTCTGAGAACTCCTTGTCTAGGCCTCCAATGCCCATGCGCTCAAAGTTCCAGTCTGGGTTGATGATGGACTGCCGAGAGCCTCTGGTCTTTGCTTTTCCTGGAGAAAAAGGACCAAAAACAGACTGCTGAGGTTTTCCAAGGTTATACAACATGTCAAATATTAAGGGATGTAAAAAACATTTTAGTAGAGATAACAATTAAGTAAGGTAGATGAGGTAAAACCACGTGTGTTCTGACTGCCATCTAGTGGTGAAGTTTGGTTTTTACACTATTTGAAGCATATGAATTGAATTGAATTGAATTGAATTGAATTGAAGCCACTGATTGAGTCATTGGACAACACAGAACTCAAATAAAAGTTTATGTACAGAGGAATTATTTTGGATTAATCTGTTACACACGTGCTTTAACTGTTGTTCACAAAATGTGTTTTTCACTTCCTATCACTCAATCTAGTTTAACACCGTGAGATAAAAAATGTGGACTGTCAAATATTAATAAAAAATTTTTAAAATGTAGTATGTGATTAAGAATGAATTACCAATTCAGGATACTTTCAAATTGATTTTCAGCTCCATCTATTACTCTTAGCAGTCAGACAGAAAATCTTTTGACAATATGGTGTTGAAAAAAAAATAATAATTGAATCAAGTTCACCCTCAAGTTGTTCCAAACCTGTATGAATTTCTTTCTTCTGTTGAGCACAAAAGAAGAAATTCTGAAGAATGTTGGCAACTAAACAGTTGAGGGTAGCCACTGACTTCCACTATAGAAGTCGATGGCTACCATCAACTGTTTGGTTTCCAGCATTTTTCAAAATATCTTCTTTTGTGCTCAACAGAAGAAAGAAACTCATACAGGGTTGGAATGACATGAAAGTGAGTAAATGATGACAGAATGTTCATTTTTGGCTGAACTATCCCTGTAAATGCAGAAGCCATTCTGTTTTTCTGACATGGCTAACTACTAATAGGAACTACTTAAAATAAGGGAAATCATAAAATAAAATCATTTAAATCACTTAAAATCATTTAATTCATTTTTTTATTATTTTAAAGAAATTGATTACATTAAGTCAGTTTAATTAATTTAAATTTTTAATAAAAACTCTAGAACTAAATTAGAATCATGTGTATCCTGCAAGCAAAATGGCTCAGCTCAGAAAAGCACCAAATATAGGACATTGAAAAAAAAAAAAATATATATATATATATATATATTGAAAACAAATATATCAATGGAAAAGAGAACCTATATTTATATTTTAAGGGATAAATATAAGATTTATGGCAGAGTTTACAAGCCTTTTAAACTGTTCTTAAAACACTGTGGAGTTGGTGATGAGTGAAGGCTAAAAATAGAGGTGGTAGTGAATGTTCATGTAAGGTAATGAAAAGTTTTTTTCTTTCTGTTGAATGTGCGTGCAGTTAAACTAACTAAACTCATTTTGTAATTCTGATCATTCTAATTATATATTTGCATAAAATTACATTTCAGTGATTTATAAGTGCTAACATTGCTAACTTTAAGTAAAAGCATGTGACATGTTTCATTCCAACTCACAAGAATTTGTGACCTACCTAGTATCAAGTTAGCTGTGACAAGTTCACTAGCTAAAAAAAAAAAAAAAAGACTAAATATATTTGTCAGCAGCTGACAATGTTGGATTAACCACGCCAGATCATTAGGTTAATAAGTCTTGACTAAATACTGTAGATGCTGTATCATAAAGTATTCGGAAGACTTAGAAGATACACATATTGTGTATATCAGAGCCACAATGGAGGTGTGTGTTTCCCAGTTAAACACTAACCAATCAAATTGATAGATGAGCTCTCAGCTTTCTCAAAAATCACCTGACAGTTGCCATGCAACAGACCAATCTTAATCTGAAAAAGAAAAATGGAAACAAACCATATTAAAGCCATATCTCTATTAACCCATGAATCAGCATGATTTGAGAGTAAGCAATAACAAGCTACCTTCTGCTTTTTGCTAGAGCTTTGCTCGCCTCTAAGGATACTGGGATCCATGGCCTCGATATCTTTTATGACCAGTGCAAAAAGCTTGTCAAAGCAGCTGAAGACAAACTGTCAGGAAGACAATACAGGCTTAATGTGCAATGTAAAAGTTCTCAGACCTTATTAAGTGTGGGTATGACATTAATTTCGTTAGTTCTTTGATGGCTCACCTGCTGGCCCACACTAAAGGCCTGTGCGGTAAAACACTGGATAAATTCAATGGCCATTTTATCAGAGTCATAAGGGTTGCTGTCTACGCTCTTCTTCTGGAGGAAGTCAATCTCTAGCGTCATGGTTCCCACATACTGTCTCGATGGGTCAAAGCTGTAGACACTCACTGCAAACAAGACAACAGCGACAAGTGGAGAATAAGACAACGGTCACTGTTGAAATATACTATAGATGTTAGTCAAGGTAGACGACATATTTAATATGGCATGAATGAAAATAAGATTTTGTATGAAATATGTCTTTCCAAAACAATTCAATAGGACGAAACTTGCGCTAAGAATTTGTAATACTACTCCCTATAAATGTCCACATACACTACTGTTCAAAATTTTTTAATTAATATTTTTATTCTCTAAAGACACAAACAAATGCAAATACATTTTTGCACTTTCTATTCATCAAACAATCCTGAAATATACCACAAGAATATTAAACAGTGCAATTGTTTTCAACATTAATAATAAGAAGGAATGCTTCTTGAAATCCAAACTGGCATTTCAGGATTATTTCTGAAGGATCATGTCACACTAAAGACAGGAGTAATGGCTGCCGAAAATTCAGCTTTGCAGTTAGAAATAAATGACATTTTAATATACATCAAATTAGAAAACTTTTTATTAATTTTATTAATTTATTTATATTTTTACAATATTACTTTTTAATGTATTTTTGATCAAATAAATGCAGCTGTGGTGAGCACAAGAGACTTATTTCAAAAACATAAAATATATATTTTATATATACAGTATCTCACAGAAGTGAGTACACCCCTCACATTTTTGTAAATATTTTATTATATCTTTTCATGTGACAAATTTGACACTGAAATGACACTTTGCTACAATGTAAAGTAGGGAATGTACAGCTTGTATAACAGTGTAAATTTGCTGACTACATGCATTTTTTTTTTTTTTTTAGAACTTATCTACATTTGCTTCTTTCTTGGGGTGACTTACATATTAATTAAAGTCTCTACATTTTTTTAGCTAAATTAACTGATAATGGTTTCAACTGAAAACAAAATTTTCAGAAATTGAATTCTTAACTAACTGGCTAAAAAAATCTCCAAAAATGTATTATTTTCCACTAGCTCCATCTATTGTCCTTCCATCTCTCTCCAACCCAACCAATGTTTTATCACACTACATTATAATCAATAATTTCACAGCAAACGCAGGTAACAAACTCCCTGAGTTATTGCACTATTAGTTTGCAGCCAATCAAATTCGGTGTTGTTTAGTAATTAGTAATGTGAAACGGTACACATACCTTCAACATCCTGGTTTAGCGAGAGTCCAGCCCATTTCCTCTATGACACAGAGAGGATATCAATAAGTTTCTATTTTTCATAATGAGTTTCTATCTTTATAATTTAAACTATATGTTCTTTAGCATATTACCAGCCACACAATTAATATACAGTTATTATTTGGAAGATCCTACTGCAAAAAAAACGACACAATACATTTGTACAACTTTCTCTTGTTAGATGGTCTTACTGTAGAGCACACTAACAACGAAATGTGTACTTTTCTCTAGTTGTGTTTCAATTCTTGGTCTCTTGTTGATAAAATATTACATCATGCCATAAAATAAGACCACTGTGAGAACGTTACTGTAGTACCTGAGAAGTCTTGCTGCTGTCATGTTAACAGATGAACGAGAAGCAGGCAAAAACAATGCAAGACATTAAGAAATAAGCATGCTGACAACAACAGTACATTATTGTACATCTGCATACTAATGCAGTTCACAAGGCAGACGGCATAAAGATGGTTACATAAAAACATATTCAGAGTATATCGTATGTCATTAGACGTTAGAGAAGCCTTTGTGGAATGATGACACAAACATGTACCTGAGGTAGACTGAAGGCAATGGTTCCCGGCACCACGCTAGGGTGGGTTTTCACCGTGAACAATATATATATATATATATATATATATACAGTACACACACACACACACACATATATATATATAATTCTGATTTATTTATTTTGACATAGGCGTTCTGGCAGTATGTATTTAAACATAATGACAGTCCTCTTTTCTGATTCATTACACATCAAATACTCACTGCCCAGATTTGAAGTCCTTCTCACTTGCAACCACACAGTTTGTGAGAGACAGTTCATCTGTTGGGCATCTCGCTGCTTGCATTAGCTGTATAGGAAAGAAGAAAAAAGCAGTGATGAAGTGATAGCAAATCACAGAAGCTGACATTTCAGCCTTGATATTCACTTCCAATCAAAAGCTTGTACATGCTCAATCATCATTTTTAATTACTGTTTTCTAGAAGCCATCTTTGTCTAGATCAGGGGTTATACATTGCATTGCATTTTAAGACTGGACTATATTTGCTTATACATTGGTTGAAGTTAACTATATATAAAGGTATATAGATTTTAGATTAAAAGAATGCAGAAATAATTTTCAATAAACTCCAGACATTGTAACTATATATGTGTTGTGATACTAAAGCTAAATAGTTGTATCGGTATCATTACTAGTAAGTAGTACTAATACTGATCCCAAAAAAATAAATAAATAAACAATTGGGCCAAATGGAGTTAATTTCATGATAACTAACTGATAACCAAACACTATTTGTAAACTGTTACAGACCATTTGATTAGTCAAAAAAAAAAAAACAGCATCTATTATCCTTTTCACTGAAAAAAATTCAACCTATATGTCTGTCGACACTCACCAGCTGTCTGTTCAAATCATCATTTTCATCACGACAAACACTCATTGAGTAAGGAGTCACTCCCCCATTACCTTTTCTGTAACCTGATATTCACTCATTCAAACACTTACAAATCTCTATGTTTAACCAGCTGAAGCTCGCTCTTAAAAGTACTGAGAACATGCAGTAATGCTGTGTGATCTTATAGGATTACTGAAGGGCTTCATTAAACCCTAGTGTGGTATTACCAATAGCATGAGATGAATTCCAGACCTTCTGAATCTCACGTGATCTCCTCAAATATACAGCCTGTAATCATAATGCTGGCTAATGTATATTGCTTAGTAACTGTGTGTTTGGACCCACTTATCCTGTGATACAACAGAAACAGACACCTGACCACAAGCAACACATACAGTGGGGTCCAAAGGTTTGAGACCACACTGAAAAGCTGCTTATTATTATTACTATTATTATTATTATTATTTAAACCAGTAAATTTTGTGGAAATCAAATCTAGATTTGAGAACATTCTAATTTGTATTCTAATCTAACGTTTTTTGTTTTTTTTTATTAATTTTTCCCCATTATAGTGAAAATGTTATATAATAATGTTATATCCAAAATTATATTAATACATATAGAAAATACTGTTACATATAACAAACAGTAACTTTATCTAATTGTTTTCAAAAAATAAATGTAAGCATTTTCTTGTCGCCTCAGAAGTCCAGTTTTATTTTAGCATTATTTATGTACTTTTAAAGAATTTAATAACATTTTGAATTAGTTATTTTTATCTTTTGTATATATATATATATATATATTTCGTTTTCATTTTAACTTTGTCGAAGTTTTAGTCATTTGGTTATGTGCTTTTTTTATTTTTTAGTAATTTTGTTATTTTTAAATATTTCTATTTCACTTTAACTTTATTTCATTTTCAGTTTTAGTCATTTTAGTATTTAAAATTATTTTATTTTACTTAGTTGTTAAGATAATATTTCTAATTTTAGTTTAGGTTAAGTTCAAGTTTTGCATCAATTATTTATATTTTATTCCAGCTTTATTTTAAAGAACGAAAACGATTTATATAAAAACACTGCAAGGCTTGATGAAAGAAAGAAAGAAAGAAAGAAAGAATTAAGAAAGAAAGAAAAAGCCTCATATTGTATTTTTATTTTAGTTGAATAATCATAAATCAATAACCTTGCTTCCTGTCAAAAACAGCATTTATCTATTATTATAATACTCTTGATTCAATTATCTGTAATGACAACAGCCACAGTTATATTAGCATGCATTTGCCAAAGTCACTCTTCAAACGCCTTTAAAGAAAATACAGTTGTCGCTTCCACATTAAAAATTGTAAATATTCTCGTGACTTTTTGTATAAGTAATGTTTTCCTGAAAAGTCATAAGACGTGATGTGGAACTTGTCTTCCGGTACTGCACGAGTGTGAATGACGTGTGCAAACACAGCACGAATGAATGGAGCTGAGCCCTGGACATGCTGAGCAGATTGTCGAAATTATGAGTTATTTCTGTGCGACAACAAAACAACTTTAATCATAAAGAAATACTCACCCGGCCAGCCATTTTTGCGTTTATCAGGTGATCAAGATGAATTCCGCAAGAACGACACGACTAGACGCTGCCCCAGCGACTGCTCTCAGCTAAGAAACGAACATCAAACCAGAAGCGAAGACCCACCAAAATAAAAGCACGAGCTTTTTGTTTTAATGTACTGTAATTATAATAACTTTTTTAATATCGAACTTTAAAATTTATATAAACAATTATAGAAAATGTGCAATTAATTTAATGATTATAATAACCACAATTTATTTATTATGGGTACATAATAAATGTTTTAGCTCATATGTATAAACTCCTGCCCTCTCATGTTTGCATGTTTTGTCGTAGGTCTTTGTACAGAATAAACTGTGCGTCTTACTGGGTTTATATGAGACAGAAATAAAAGTGTTTGTCGCATCAAACTAACCTAATTAATGCAATAATCAAAGCACATTGCCCATTAGATGGCGCCAGAGGCATATGGCTCTTAACCATTAATTTCTAAGGCCCTTAAATCATCAAAATGATCAAAATTGTTCTGAAAAAACTGTTGTACATAATCTTCTACATGCTTTCTGATTGATGGTTCATACTGTTTTGGTAAGTAAAAGTAAGCAAAAGGCTTTTTAGTATAATTCCAACAACGTCCAGCTTCAGAGGTTGTGGTACATGTGCAAACTTTATTTGAGATTTTCTTTTATGTTTTGTCCAATGGTTCAATAAACCAATCCATTTGATTAAAAATAAAAAAGACTATTATCTTCCGACTTTTTAATATCGAACTTTAAAATTTATATAAACAATTATAGAAAATGTGCAATTAATTTAATGATTATAATAACCACAATTTATTTATTATGGGTACATAATAAATGTTTTAGCTCATATGTATAAACTCCTGCCCTCTCATGTTTGCATGTTTTGTCGTAGGTCTTTGTACAGAATAAACTGTGCGTCTTACTGGGTTTATATGAGACAGAAATAAAAGTGTTTGTCGCATCAAACTAACCTAATTAATGCAATAATCAAAGCACATTGCCCATTAGATGGCGCCAGAGGCATATGGCTCTTAACCATTAATTTCTAAGGCCCTTAAATCATCAAAATGATCAAAATTGTTCTGAAAAAACTGTTGTACATAATCTTCTACATGCTTTCTGATTGATGGTTCATACTGTTTTGGTAAGTAAAAGTAAGCAAAAGGCTTTTTAGTATAATTCCAACAAAGTCCAGCTTCAGAGGTTGTGGTACATGTGCAAACTTTATTTGAGATTTTCTTTTATATTTTGTCCAATGGTTCAATAAACCAATCCATTTGATAAAAAATAAAAAAGACTATTATCTTCCGACTATTAGGCCTATTTCATATGTCAAGCTTTACATTGTTAAATAAAGATAACTCTTGTTGTTTTCCAGGGTTAAACAGTTCACAGGACATGTCCTAATTATAAAGGGCTTAAATTACTCCCTATCATGTTTTAACATCAAAAACAACGAGTTTAATGTACATTTACACTAACTCCCATGCCAACACATCCAAACACAGTCTCTCAAAGCAAGGGTGTGGCTTTAATGGAGCAGTTGAATATGCCATTTTCCGAGAAGTCAGCAAATTGTAAGCATGAATCACATCAGTGTTTAATATCTAGAACAGATCATGATACACTTTTTAACCCAGAGATGAAAATCTGTCATAATTTACTTACCTTCATGTCATTCTAAATGGAAAAGAGCAGTATAAACATTTTGCTTTACATTTCCTTTTGTTTTCTACAGAAGACAGAAAGTTATACAGGTTTGGAAAGGCATGAGGGTGAGTAAATGATGAAAAATTACATGAGGACTTTTTTTCTGTCTGGGTTGACAATATCGATTTATCAGTCCAACTGTATAAAAACATTTCATTTTAATGTACAATAGTATAAACACATTTTGTTTATAGTAAACACAAGTTGATTTGTGCACATTCAGTGCTTCCATTAAAAACTGAAGACTAGTCATGCAGGTTGTGCCACACATCCTGATCAGAGCATGTGAGCACCTACCTACCAATCAGATCACGTGATATGTTATCAACTGACATACCATACCAACCTGCGCCATTTAACCCTTCTGCTTCGCTTAACTGGAATTTCAGTAGTCTGACATTCTTGAAAGAAGTGCTAAACATTACAAGCACGCACAGACTCATACCTGTACACACACACACGTTTTTGAAATAATGTACATTCCATATTAGGATCCAAAACAACTGAACATTTTAATAAAATGGACACACTTAAATGAGATTTAATTAACAAGAGACTTTTGTGTTGTACAAAGACAAGCCATACAACAGTGACTTTCACATGTTCTCTTTTTTTTTTTTTTTTTACATTCCAACAGAATTATATTTCTGATCCTGAAAAGGATGTTTGAGATACATTCAAAACGCTTCCCGTCCGTATTGAGCCTGTATCAAAGGTCTACAGTTTAAAAGACTCATTTTAGGAATTCTCGATCTGCCAAGACGCAGTTTATTTAGTCTATGGCATACTCAGAGTCTTGGCGACAACGCCGGCAGCCTGGATAACACGGTATCGCTCTCGGAGGTTGCGTCGCCGGACGTGCTCGTTGGTGATTTCCAGTACATTTGCTTCACGAAACCAGCCTTTCTGTCCATCAGATAGACGGATTCCCTCACACCATCCTAAAGAAGGCAAGAAGTGGTCAGATGGATGAACAAACATACATTTGGAACACATTTCAACATGTCAGATGTGCTTCCAATAAATGGAAGGTATAGCGTGACACACCTTCGTTGGTTTTGCGCACGACGTTAATGATCTCCGTGGGCTCCAGATTTAATTCATCTGCTTGGTTTGCCACATACTGCTCCACACACTGCACCTGAGGGCAATCTGTCACACAAAGACACACATGATTAGAAAGTTATTTATCTGTAGAGAGAAAAGAATGTGATCAAAATCAAAGGCAAGCACTGACACGTCACATATGCGTATAAACCTGAGCGGCTTTTTTGGGAAATAAGCACCCACACTTACCCCAATCTTCATATATGACTTCTTCTTGATCATTGCTGGGGTTGTCAGGATTCGGGAATGCTGCCAACCACCTGTGCAGGTCAGATCTGATTGGAGAGATTGAAGAAAAGTGACCTATACAGTCTTAAAAAGCAGCGTACATCCTTATAGTCAAACTAATCCTGGAGATTACATAGAGGAGATTTCCAATTGTGGAAATGTACGATGTATACAAAATTAAAAATAATAATAATATTACTAAAATTACTTTTTTTTTCCAAATTATGGTACATACATTCTGATACATTGCTGATATTAAATTATTATTTTTTTGTACATTTGCATTTTATTTAATGCAATGATTATACATACACCAAAAGTTTTTTTTAATTACTTTTATTCAGCAAGGGTGCAGTCAATTGATCAAAAGTGACAGTAAAGACACTAATGTAATGAAAGATTTCTATTAAAATGAAATGCTGCACGTTTAAAATTTGTATTTATCAAAGAATCCTGAAAAAAATATATCGCCGTTTCTTTCTTCAACATTCATTATAAGAAACGTTTCTTGAGCACCAAATTAGTATATTGAATGATTTCTGAAGGATCATGTGACACTGATGACTGAAGTAATTGCTGCTTTAGCTTTGCTACAACAGGAATAAATACAATTTTTAAATATATTAAAATATAAAACAGTTCTTTTAAAGTTATTTCATTTTTGATCAAATAATTGCAGCCTTGGTAAACATGTTCAAAAATATATTAAAAAACGCCCCCCAAATGTTTAAACGGTAGTGTACATTGAAAAGACTTGTATACTTGAATTACAGGGAAAAAAAATCTCGGCTGAGTAAAATAAATAGTATGCCGTTTATTTATAACTCCACGCACTGTGTAGGAGCTTTCAAAACTCTCTCCATCTGGCGTCCCTGATGATTCTCCAGCAGGGTCAGACAGAGGCTGTGCTCCATGTTCGGGACAGCTGTGTCCTCCCCAAAAGGCTGCACCTGGACCAGGGAGCGATGGGCATGATCGAGGACTACATACCGCTCAGAACTGCAGCACATGGAAAGAGAAGAAGAAATAAATGAGTGAAGTCTGCTTCAGAAACAATAGGTTTCTAAACTAAACAGTAATTGCAAACAGGTGTGTTACGATTTATAAACCATAATTAAAAAGTGAATCCAAATAAATGGCATGTAAACATAATGCAGTGTTTTGTAACCCTCATAAAACAGAGTAAAGCCACAAAACAAACAGGTTTTTCAGCTTTCTACCTTTTCTTGCTGGCAATGATAAGCAGGTCACTGAAGAGAAAGAGGTAGATGGGACTGAATTTGGGGCGGAGGGTCAAGAATGTTCCTCCTCTGTTTACTTCCTGCAGCTCTCCTCGTTTCTCCAAATAACGTGTTTGAGAGACAATTGGCACCGCCTGAATAGATGATTCAATGATGAGACAACATTTCAACAAATAAATAGATTAATTCAAATAATTATTATAAAAGGTATATAAAAATATATAATAGTAAATATTTTTAATACAAGTTTTATTTCAATAAAGCATTTCATGATTTCAAAACATTAAAAAAGTAATAATTTATAAAGTAATAATTAAGATTCTACACTATTTTAAGGTCACTAATCAAAAGTAAACATTTGTGAACGTGATCATGTGACATTCTCAAATCATGCTGGATTACATCAGGTTTTGCAGTTCTAAAATTCATCTTTTTACTCATTTTCTTAAGCTCGTATAATTTGTCATTTGTTCACTATTTAAAAAAAATACAATCAGAGCAATTTTAAAGGGGTCATATGATGCTTTTTTAAAGATCATTATTTTGTGTATTTGGTGTAGGGCTGCACGATAAATCGCATATTTAACGCGCATCTTGTCAGAAAGCCGGTTCTGTATTCAGCGATAAATCTCCATCACGTGCGTGCTTTCACATTGAGCAGCATTAACTACACAGAGCCGTTGTTCACTGACGAGCTGCGCAAAAAATCGCGCGAATATGAACGTGGTGTTGCGAACACTAACTGCGGTTACTGACACCATGCCTTCTTTCTTTGCGTGCACATTTGCGGCGGGATTAT